ACTGATAAGATTCTTATAAGATATTCATAAGAAAGTGATAAGACGGCTTGTTACTTTCTTATGAATATCTTATAAGTTTCTTATAAGAATCTTATCAGAACCAGTGAATTTCTTATCACTTCCGTGCAACATCTTATATAAGAATCTTATCAGAAACTTATAAAAAGCTGATAAGTATTTTGTATGTTTGTGAGCGCCTTATATAAGAATCGATGTCTAGGGAAAACACATAACTCAATGCCTAGATTTTTACGGAGCAGAATCTGTTATTAGAGCACTTTCAAGTTCTTGTGATCTAGAGAAAGAACGCTGGAAAACGAAGAGGTTTTACTAAAACGGCTTTAGCCATTCAGCACGTTCTCTTCAACAGATGATTGTCCTTAATGATTAATCGCTTTGGTATGTATTGATAAAAGACGAGTTAATAAAGGATTATAAAATATTAATTATATCAACATAGACGTAACTTACATATTTTTTCAGAAACTGCAGGTGATTCCTATCGAACTAGCAGGTTTATCTTTATATGATCACTAAATCTTCAATAATCGTCATTCCTACAAGTTGGTTCTGCTTAATATTCTGTCAAACATCACTCTTGGTTTAGTTTCTATTCGTGTTTTGATCACTGATGGACATCCAATTGTGCACATTATAACGTTCTTGTCATCAATACTTGCTAGCTCTTATACAGCAACGATACTGCACAACGCTGTAAAAGGGTTAACTGTTGTATTTTCTGTCTTTCGAAAGATTCTATTTTAAGGCGCATAGAGATGTGAAACCGGCAAACATGGTGGTTGATTATGAAAATGGAATTTTAAAAATTTGTGATCTAGGCTCCGCGAAACGGTTGAATAAAGGCGAAAAGTCTGTGTCCTATGTACGTTCACACAACCAGGAAGCTTTCACTATTGCGATGGAACTATTACTCATTATTTTAGGTGTGCACAAGATATTATCGTGCTCCTGAACTACTTTTGGGCTGTACAGAATATAGTGCAGGTTTATCACAGTTGTTCAAACCGTATGTGTTAAGGGTAGTATAATATTTCTGTTTAGCGATTGACATATGGTCTGCTGGTTGTTGTATGGCTGAGTTTCTGAATGGTTATGCCATCTTCAGAGGTGTGGATAGTTCCGATCAAATGTATCGTATCATAAAAATAATTGGCATTCCTACAAAAGACGAGTTACGAGAAATGAACGTAATCAGTGATGTTTTATTGTAAAATTATACCTTCACTGACTCTTTTTTGTTTTTAGCCACGCTATACCGGTAGTGTTGATCTAACTATAATATCATTTCAACCAAGAACATTGCGTGGCTACTTACCGGAGAGAACGCCTGACAATGCATTTGTTCTATTAGAATCACTATTGAGATATAAACCAATGGAAAGGACTACATGTTTAGCTGCATTAGCATCCGATTTTTTCATTGAATTACGACAACGGTCAAATACATTGGCCAATAAAAAACCATTGCCAAATTTGTTTAATTTTAGGGATAATGAACTACCAAAATCAAATGTTTTGTATAATTATATTGTACCAGAATGGTATACACAACCGATACCGGCACAAACAGTGGAAAAGAAAAGATAACATGATTTTTTTAGATCGAATTTTTAAAATAAACAAAAAACACTTGTATGAAACCATATCATCAGCTGTATATATATTATCTGTTAGAGTGATGTTATGGAGTGAACGGAAGCAAAATGCTTCATGGTGAAATTTTTCTAGATAATTTCTATTTTTCACACTATTATTATTGTAATTATCTGTTTTACCTCTTATATCATATCATATACTCATTTATGAAGTTTATAAGTTGAGAAGACCATGTCGTAGTTTTTAAAAAGAAATATTAGTATATTATGAATGTAAATGATAAGCTAGAGTACTAAACATGTTAAATAATATTTGACTTTCTATTTATATAGTAAGTGTTGATCACAACAGTTTTTCTTTTCACCTACAACATAGCATTAGCATGGATGATGAATTTAAAATAAGAAAGGTCAAATTTGACGTTCTTGATTTTAAATCTCATAATTAAATGACGTACGTGATTGTTGTTGAATATTAGTCTTTCTATTTACATATGGCTATCGAAATGAAATATAATTCAATTGTTTGTTTTCACAATAGTAGAACGAAATTCCACGAAAAGGCTATTATGTCGTGTTATATATGAAATCAAAAGGAGAATTTATCAACAGTAAGTTGTCAGTAAAAGTAGCAAATAAAGAAAAAATATTTTATTCATATTTTTTATGTTGCAACTTAAAAGGTACCAAAACATTCAGACTTTATCAATCTGTTCTAGTTGTTAAATTTTTTCTACGACAATGACATATCTAAGGATATAGTACGAGTAAGAAAAAATGTTCAGTTGGTACACTATTTAAAATTCATTTGAATCAAGAATCGCTATTACATGAATGTTCCTGTTAATTTGTCCAGCTTTAATCTATCAGTTATTCATCGTCAGATCCATAAATGCTGCAGCCGGTCGTTGTTATTCCTGTTATGAGAATACACTAGAAGCATGTCCGGGAAACTCCAATATGTTAAAATTGTACACTGAACCGTGTAATGGTCAATGTGTATTTTTTCAAGAGAATAATACGGTTGTTCGAGGATGCTCGTGGACATACGGCCATATGTTTCAGAAAATTGGTTGGCATTATTTAAATACAGAAACGACGGCCTATTTTTGTAACTCGTATTTATGTAACAATGGAACATACAATGAGTTATTAATAACCAAACCAGACACAGTAAAAACATCAACGGGTGGGAAAAAAGTTTTTACATAAAATATTGTGTATAAAATATATGATGCCTTAAAAGATTTACTAGTATTGTGTTAGAATCAAAATTTCACACTCTTTCTGAATATGTGTTTTGTCAGTTTTCTATATGAAGCATAACATTGAAAGCCTTGAAAATTTTTCTTGGACTACAAAGCTGCTTTTCAACAAAGTGGTATATAAAAGTGATTTAAAGCATGAAAGAGTAAAACAAGTAAGAAGTGATTTACTAAACGCTATCTTCTACATAAAACATGTAATAATCAAACAGATCAATATGTTTTACAGTTATCACGAAGTAAAAAACGAAAGTCTGTCTTCTTATATTTACTTTTCAAAGAAAAGTTATGTTGAAAATACGTAAAACGAATGCTACTTTATAGCCGTGGAATACCGGTATATACCAGTCGGTATAATGAACAGGCATATCGATGACCGGTATATCGTCCAGTTTCAACTTTCGACTAAATATTTTATGCAAAAATGTTTTTCCATCCGGCAATAGAAAACAACAATATTTCGTTTAATATGCATCTTGATGAAATGGTTTATAAAAAATATTCTGAAGAGTGAAAGTTAATATTTTTCATTTTTTTTATTAGGTTCGATTCAAACTCGTAAAGTGAAGATGTGTTACACATGCACTGCTCATACAATAGGTTGCGGTGAATTTATAAACGTTCATTATTTGAAAGAAAAAGTTAAACAATGTAGTTCAAGTTGTGTAATATTTCGAAATCCATTGGATAATAATCGTAAGTTGATCAATTTTCGTTTTAAAAAAAAAGTGAAACGTTATTATTATTTTTAGTTTTACATCGTGGATGTTCATCAAAATGGTCGTCTATTCATATAAAAAGTGGATTTCATAAACTTTTAGGAACAGACGCATTTTTCTGCGAAGAATCTTTGTAAGAATATCATCAAGATTTTGGATAACGTTAGAATATTTTTCTTCTACTGTTTTCTTTTAGATGCAACGGAATTAGTTTCAATTTTATGATGGGTAAAAATAATATTACTATATCTATTTTGTGTCATGAGAGATTTATTCGTTTAATCAATATATCAAACTACTGATTTTTTTTTTCTTTGTGTTAAAGGTATTTTTCAAAACAAGATACAAACAGCGCTCACATCTCCATCGATTTACGATCAAACAACTTCAACCGATCAACCAGAGTACTTTGTTTCAGACGATCAAACAAACATTGAGCAAAATGAAAATAGTTGGAACAGTAACAATCTAGATTTTATCAGTATACCAGTCAAAAAAATTTCTACAAAAAGAAGAATAACTACGTCGACAACGTCTGCTGTAATGAGGATGCCTCCGATCATTAGTTCTACAAATTTAGAAGAACAATCCGAGCCTAAATTAACATGGTGGGATCGAGAGAGTATAGAAACAAAATCTGAAATAGCGCATAACAATTATTATTACCATAAAAATAATACGAAGAATAATCAGACAATTTTTAATGATATTGATCGATTAAATCCGTCTAATAATCAAATAATATCGATGATTAAAGATGATAATTCAACATTAAAAATACTTACAAATCAAGAAAGTATTGAAAATGGCAATAAAAACTGTTCACTTTTCACTACTAGTACAAAATTGCCTCTAACAACTCAACGTGGATATTTATTAAAAAATAATGAGGTCAAAAATAAGAGTGAGACGACTTTATTTGATAATTTCTACAAATTTAGTGATTCGAATTATATTCTAACAAGTATTGATGAACTGTATAATGAACCGTCATTTATTCTATCTTCAACTATTCCTGTTGATAATTTGAATACACTTCAGCATACTACTAGACAGGACTTAGAATCATTTGAATTTTGGAACGTAAACCGTAAACAAAAGAATCAACCAACAACTTCATTAGTACATCCAAATTTTTCATGGATATTAAATTTAACAAATAATTTATCAGAAATTTCACATAATATTTCTATGCATGATACAAAAGATAGAATTCAAACTACTCAACATAATTATCAACATCGTTTATTAATAACTGAATCCCCACAACACGAAAAATTTTATCCAATATTAAAATGGTTTGATATAAAGTCCTCCATTGACGTTGGTTCAAAATTAAAAAATAAACAATTACCATTTACCTTGATGAATAAATATCAATCTCGTTTAACTACCAAAAGCGTTCTAATAACCAAGAAAAAATTTCCTTATTGTAAAAATAAATCTTGTTTTCATGGAGGAAAATTGACTGATGATTGTCTGTGTCTTTGTTTACCTGCTTACAGTGGAAAAAATTGTGAAATTAGTAAGAATCCTTCATTTTTATGATATATCACTGACATATAAGAATCAAACTTTCATTTTTTTTCTTTTTCTATTTTTAATGTTTCTTTCTTCTTTTAGTTCATTGTGAAGATCAGCCAGTCAAGTGTGATTTGGTTTTATCGCAAGAATGTGAAGACGATTATATCAAATATTTGTGTCCACACTCTTGTATACTGAATATTTGTCACGGAAACCAAAACAAATTACTTTGATCAAGAAAAGATGTGTAAAACTAAAACGAAATGATGTATTTTTTATTGAAATAAATTTCTAAATCCGGATTCATCAATCCTATATAAGATACTATCAGATTGAATCTATGTTCAATTTTTCATGGGAGAATTTAGAATCACATGGTATCCTACTAGGATTATTTTAACTGAGAAGATTAATATTTTTCAACAAATAAAATCACTCATAAGAGTTTTGAGTATGTTCACAGGGGGTTAACCTAAGTTAGACAAGAGGACGCCCCTTATTTGATTTTTCTTTTCCTCAACTAGAGAGCTAAAAATAGATTTTTAAAGTGATTTGCATAGTTGAAATTCTCGCCACGATATTTTTTCATCACAATGCGATTAAGCTATGAAGTAGAAACTTGAAGCCACGATTGAGTAAAAACTTTTTTTCTCTCGAAATCTTCTCAGTAAGTTTCTCAGTCGATATTTTTGTTTATATCTCACAAAAACATAAACAACTTTATTTAAACTTTCTAGAATCGCAACGTAAAGGCAGAACTTAGAACTACTTCGATCAGTTCAGAAATCTGTTTTTAGCTCTTCGTTTGAGGAAGAAAATCAAAAGGAGGAATGACCCCTATAATTTTTTCCAATGCATGTATATAAGATATTTATCAAGATTAATTTAAGCCAGGTCGAAAGCACCCACCTGTACTTTCAGTTACTGAAAGGGTAATGACAGGTAGATCACGTGTATTCGGTACATCTGTACTACCCAAAAATTTATGAACTCTAAATTGCTAGGAGTATTGCGTATGATCCTTTTTTAGTGTGACAATGCCATGTGGAAGAGCCATCGAAAATAAGATATCTACCGAACATGCCTCCTGTCCTGAAAAATGCTTTTTCAATAGTGTATGTAGTTTTTGTTATGAAAAAATATTCCAATCTCTCTTGTATATAGCTGTGCGATCTGCGTTGCCATTGTACTGTTTCCGTGGAAAAAATCGTAAAAAATAAGCTATCTTGTGGATTTTTATTGACTATCTCAGTAAATTCTGATAGCCTAAGAAATGATAAAAAAACTAATTTTCTCCACTATTAATTCCGTTTTTTCAGAAAACGGATTTTTTGCTACGAAAAGCATAATAATCCCCGAGCCCATTGCGATAAAAACGATATAAAATGGTCTTGAAATTTTTTGCTATAATACATCAGTCGATAGATCTCGATGAGGCGTCTCTGATGATGTGTGATTCTATGTGTTTCATTGCCAGCGAAAGCTTCTTTTATGCCAACTTCTGAGAAAATGTATTATTTAAGATTCTTCGGCTTCAAAAAAACAACTACTACGTGACAAGGCTACCAGACGAACACGCCAAGTTTTAGCAAATGGTTTACGATGGTGTTAAATTTAGTGTATTTTTCATGGGGACATGACAGATTTAATCTGATGGGACATTGTGAACTGAAACAATCTTGGGGGACATTTTTCTGGTAAAATTCGTTTTTCTCAGAAAGGACAAAATGTTTTGAGCCACACACGTTTTAGGCATATGTTGTACGTCGTAAAGGAAAACAAAAGTAAAAGAATCGATGCGAAAAGTTGAGCATTAACAGAAATATTAGGAAAACAAAATTGAAAATTTCACAGGACATTTATTGTGTGAAGCTTATTTTCAGAAAAAGTAATTGTGACTTTTTACAGTAAAGAGAGTAGAGTCACATGGAGTAATTCTGATAATCGCCTAAAACATTTCAGATATTTTGAGCATATTTAAGTCATTTTTCACCGGAGAAAATCAGCAGGTAGATAGAGTCTTAGATATCTACTGATGTAAATTTTTTTCTAAAATTCATTAACATTAATTAGTTCTAATCAATTTCCAGTGAATAGGTTTATAATCATCATAATCCCCCCCCCCCGGTGTG